TAAATGTCAAACTTCCACATGAACAACGTCTGAAGGTGATATGTGGTCTCTGCCACTGAAGAATAAGGAGTGTGCTTACTGTAAGGATTTTAATGAAACAAACCAATACCCTTACCTGGAAATTAAATAGTAGGTCAGTGAGCACCCTAAATTAAAAAAAAATCCATTGTCCTGGCAGTTATGGCCTTTACTGGGTACCTTGCAATCTGCAGGCCTCTACACTATCCGTCCATTATGACCAGACATCTCTGCACCAATCTTGTGTTAGTCTGCTGGATACTTGGTTTCCTGTGGTACTTGATTCCCATCATCACCATCTCCCAAATGTCCTTTTGTGGATCCAGGATAATTGATCATTTTCTGTGTGACCCAGGTCCTCTGTTAGGCCTCACTTGCAATAAAGCTGCCATGATAGAGCTTGTAATCTCCAACTAAAATGCTGAACCTGTTGCTTTGGCCTTTCTTTACGTCATCTGATATTGTGCTTTGATCTTTTTTTCTTTTTTTAAAATTTATATATTAATTGGTACATTTTAGGTATACAATACATTTGCATTTATCATTGGGTGTTTGTACCTGAACATCATGTATCTTAGTTCTTATTTTTCCCCCATTACCTATGTGCCCTTCACCCCCACCACCCTTCCCTATTTACATAGACTTTGTTCCCATTTTTTTTTCTTTCTCATAATTTTTCCATTCCCTTCTTCCCTTTCCCCTTCCCCTCCCACCACCCCTACACCTTTGGACTTTTCCTATTTCAAATTGTCAATTATTCATTTTAATCATTTTCATCCTTATTTACAATTTCAGTTTCTCACACTAGAGAAACTATTTGGTATTTACACATGTTTGTCGTATTTATTTCACTCAAGAGTATGGCCTCAATATGCATCCATTTAGCTATAAATGACTCTAGTTTCTTGTTCTTTATGGCTGAGTAGTACTCTATTTTATAAAAAAAAAACAAAACCTTCTGCTCTTAAAAGCTGTATTGAGTTTCCCTTCAGCAGCTGGGAAAAGAAAGGCTTTTAACACCTGTGGGTCTCACCTGGCAGTGTTTTCACTATTCTATGGCTCAGTGCTAGTGATGTATGGGGTGCCCAAAATCTGGAGTGGGAGTGCAGAAGATTGTGACTCCCTCCCTCTCCTTAACCCTGTGATATATAGTCTTAGGAACAAAGATATGAAAAAAGCCCTGAAGAAATTTCTGGGAACATAAAAGCATTAATTAAAAAATGCTTTGGATAATTAAATTGTATTTAAATTACTTTTAGCATTTTTTCTCATTAAAGCCTACTTTTTGACACTTCTATGTAAATCAAATTATAAAAATACTAACAGAAATGTACTTCTAGTCCTTCAAACTCCCTCAGAAAGACAAAACAAAAAAAAGCAGAGCTTAACATTGGATACTTAAGATCTTAAACAACCCGTGAGTGCTTTTTATGGTAAAATCCTTTTAACCCAATGGTGGAATATTGTCTGTTTGTTGGAGGCCTTTGCAGAAGTGACCACCAAAAAGCTTGGAGGCTTCAGGACATCAGATATTTTAAAAATTGTTTTCATGCCTGGCATGGTGACACATGCTTGTAATCCCAGCACTTCATAGGCTGAGGCAGGAGTATTGCTAGGAGTTCAAGGCCCAGCTGGACCCCATAATAAGGCCCTGTCTCAAAATGAAAACAGACACCAAAACAAAAAAAAAACACTAAACAACTTGGTTTTATTCATTTAATATTGATCAGAACTTAAAAAACCTATGAACATGTTTCTGTAATTTTTCTTACTTCTTGATCACTTGCTCGGTTGCTTAGTATGCCACAAATTTTTAAACAGAATACTAAATATTAAATTGTAAATGTAGTAAAGAGAATGAAAATTCTAACACAATAGAAGGTAAATTTTCTCCTATCATCAAGTGATAGAGTGAATATAAGCAGATTATTCTGATTCCACATAACGGTTATTTTTTATATTTTTTAAATGGTCCAGTTTGAGTATTGATCCTATTGTGCAGCTCTGATTCTAAGAACTCGTCTATGTGCTGGACTGCTGATGAAGCCCCCAATTTAAGCAAGTTCTGACCTCCTTTTTATATAATTCCTCATGACTCCTGAATCTTCTGGTTAGGTATTTATATTCACAACCTCAGCTTCTGCTATATTTCTCAAATTTTTATTTTGTACATGAACAAATAAGAAATATGAAACTTCCATGAATAGATATTACCCTACAGTTTGAGCCTCAATTCTCTGTGGCCCTCCTGTCTCCAGGATTTTTTCCTCAACAATACCTGCTTTGGTAGCCACAAATTCCAAATCCTAGCTCTTCTTAATACAGAGAAATTACTGCCTCCTAAGTGTTCAAGATGGCATACATGAGTCTACTCCTTTCAATAGGCTTTTGAAAGAAAAGTTTATTCCAATGACCAGAGACTAAAATCAGGGACTAAAATCAGGGGTAGATTCTAGCACCTACCTGGGGAAAAACTGAGTTTATTATATCTGTGTGTATATAGGCTGCCATTGCGAGAGAGAAATAAAAGCAGCTAGCTGTGGGAAATATCATCCGTGAATGAATGGCCTAACACCAGGAGAGAGATATTAGCAGCTAACTGGGAAAGGAATTAGGCTTACATGGGTATTGAAGGGGCTAAGGAATTTGGGTGTGAACGGTTTATGATTAAGCCCAAGGAGGGTCTGCACAAGTGTATAGACAATCACTGGATTTTTCAGGACCAGAGAGATTGTCTTCTGTTTACTGAGAAACAGCCTGTCATTTGCTGAAAGAGGTGTTTGCTTGTGAGGATCTCACTTAAGTCAGGCATGACACTTAGTTGTAGAAAATCCTAAAGATTAAACACACATATCCTCTACCCCAAAAAACCTGCTAGAACTAATAAATGAATTCAAGCTATACAAATAAAAATCAGTACACAAAAACCAGTTATATCTTACCACAAAAATATCATCAGAGTGTCAGGTAATATGTATTTTATTTTCCTATATTTTGCATATATATTTTCCAAAAGAACATATTATATATGACAAATATGTAAATTTTATCATCTAAAATAAATTTTAAAAATAAAGTGTATTTGTATACATTAACAAAGGAAAACCTAAAAAGAAAATTAAGAAATGATCCCATTTATAGTAATCTTACAAAAAAATAAAATAATCAGGAATGAACTTAACCATGGAGACAAAAATTTCTATATTGAATCTCTAAAATGTTGCTCAAAGAAATAAATATACAAATAAATGGAAAGAAATTCTATGTGTATAAATGTAAGATAATATTGTAAAGATGTCAGTACTATCCAATATGATCTGTGATCCATAGATGCAATGTAGTCTCTTTCAATATCCAAATGATATTTTTGCAGAAATGGATAAATCTATCCTAGAATTACCAGGGAATTCCTAGGGATCCCAGATAGCCAAAACAATATTGAAAAAAGAACAAAGTTAGCTGTTGTCAGAGACCAGAGGAGAATTGAGGCCTAATTGTCCTCCTCTTTGAGCACAAAAGAGAAATGCTGCTCTCACCAGTGACTGCATATCACTGGAAAAATTTAAGACACATGGGTTAAGTTGTTTAACAGGGGATGTACAAATGGATATTGAAAAGTAGATTAATCTTGTGTTACTTTGATTTTTTGTGTATGTGTTTGGTTGAATAAAAGCGAGGTGAGCAAAAAGCTCACATACTAGAAGCTAGAGCCCCCTGAGTGCTTGCATGTTAATCTAATGTGTCTCTTCATCATTCATCCTTTTTGCCTCCAGGTCAGGAAGAACAAAGTAGCAAGTCTAGGTCCTAGAACAAGGCTGGCTGGGTGGGTTGGCCACCAGTGGTGGCCCAATTAGGGCTCAGGGCTCTGGACCCAGGCTCCACTATAGTTGGCACCCCAAACAAGGACCTGAAACCAGGATTGCCTACTAGCTGTCTCACATGTCCTCATTTCAGAATTTACTACAAACCCACTGTAATCAAAACGGCATGGTATTGACACATATACCAATGGAATACAATAGAAATTCCAAAAACAAGCCCTAACCTATTCGATCAAGTGATTTTGAGTAAGGGCTCAATACCTTGCAGTGGGAGAGGGAACAGTCTTCTTGTCTAATGATGCTAGTGCAGCTTGTTGTCCACACAGAAAATAATGAAGTTACACGCTAACCTTAGGCCATACACAAAATTCACTCTAAATGAATCAGACTTAGACATAGGACTCAAAGGCACAAAGCTCTTTCATGAAATCATAGAGGGAAAGCTTTATGATACTGGATTTGACAATGATTTCCTGGATATGATACAAAAAGCTTGCCACAAAGAAGTGGATAAATTGAACATCAGAATTTAAAATATTTGTGCATTAAAGGACACTATCTGTGGAAAGAAAAATGAATCTGTGAAATAGAAGAAAATATTCACAAATTATAGATCTGCAAGGATTAATATCAGAATATATAATGAACCACAACTTCACAAGAAAAACAACCTAGTTTTTTAAATGAGCAAAGAGCTTAATAATTTGTAAACTAGTGGCCAAAAAGCACATGAAAGTGATCTTGAAAAGCACATGAAAATTACTTGAAAAAAACTTACAAATGTGAAAGGATGAACCTTGAAGCCAGCCATGAAAAGACAAATAATGTGTAATTCCATTTAGGAAAGCCACCTAGAACAGTCTGATTCATGGAAATAGGAAGTAAAATGGTAGTCGCCTGGCACTGCAGCAAGAGTCTTCTTCAAGCAGAGGGGGAAAAGTTACTTAGAGTAACATAGACATAGAATCAGGAGCACAGAGAACACATTTCATCCTTTGTGGGGTTTTTTTTCCCTGGGGATTGAACTCGGGACCTTGCACTTGTGATGCAGTGGCTGGGGATTTAGCTCACTGGTTCCATCACCTTCCTCACAAATGCAAGGACCCGAGTTCAATCCCTGGTACCTCCACCCAAAATTTCCATCCTTTGTGTTTTAAATAAGAGGCATCTGAGTTAGTAGATCAAGAGAAATATTTACTCAGGATTTGTGTTGAAAACTTGAGCTGGTTCTTCAACTCCCTCCTAGGCCTTGAGTGAAATAGTATCCATTTATTTGTTTGTTTGTTTATTTTTGAGTCTGGGACTTGCTCTATACAGGCTGGGCTTGAACTCACTATGTAGCCCAGGGAGGCCTCTAACTCACAGTGCTGGGATTGCAAGCATGTATCACTATGCCCAGCAGCATCCTATTACTGAAGTACCTTCACGGATCAACATATCTACTTTTCAAATGAAGATTCTGAGGATTGTAAATCAGGGATCAACTTACAAAGGATACCAATCTATATAATCTCAGTAGCCCGAGTCACATTTTTCCTTAGTATGTATCCTTATATGTTTATCTTTAAAACTTCTCAGCTATTTGCCAGTTGCATC